TTCATATTAGTTTTTCTAGCATTTTAATCATACGCTTAAATCCGTTACTTGATTGTATTGTGGAGTCAAGAAACAACGTTGTTAATTGACAAACACTTGTTTTTGTGTTATACTTCATAATATATTAATAAAACTCTCATTTCAATTTTGAATATTTTTCAAGCAAACAATGTTTTAACAGTTTGACACCATAAACCTCATTGTACACAAGTTTTATAATATTTATAAGAGCTTTTGCTAACCCTTTAGTTTTATCTTTATAATTTGTTCCCAAAGCAGCATATTTTTGAAATTTGCAACAGCTTCTCAACTCTCTTCGGACACTGTGCATATATTATTTTCGAAGTGCAATAGTGAAAAAATACCGCTTTAGTGACAGACTGCATATTTTGTAACCGAAAATAGTTATGATTAAAAAAAAAAAAGCAAAAAAGAAATTAAAACACTGAATAATGGCCAAGTACTTTAAAGATTCCGAATATAAACACAAATAGAATCAAAAGAAAATGTTGCCAAATATGAAACTGAAATTCAAAAACTAATCTTGTTCCCGAGCACTTAATAATAAATAGGATGTTTCAAAATCATTTCTTGAACACCATCCAATGTGTTTAAGTGAAAAATGCTCAATTTAAAGATACTTATGATATTCTGTGTACCTGTAAACATTACCTTCTGACATTTTAAACAGCAACTTCCGGTTCACAACATAGAACAAAATGACCATAACTCTCCTTCTGATCACCGAAGAGATGAAACAAAAACACTTTTGAGAAGCTAAAGTACAAGCTTTAAAACTTGTACTTTAGCTTCTCTCTTCACCAATAATAAATTTTTGAGAAATTTCAAACTTTTCAATAATTTAATTTCAATTATAAAGCTAAATTTCAAATTTTCCAAAAATTTGAAATTGAACTTTAATGTAGGTTTAAGTATAAATTGACTATTAGATTGTAGTCGGATACCTTACAAAGGAAACAGTCTTTAAATAACGCTGCAAGTAACTGCGCAACCCTTTTTCCCTGCTTCGCTCGTTGTTTGCTAAGACACTTGCTAAGAAATTTCCTTCAGATATGAATATATGCAAAATGTTGCAAACAATAACTCATAGGTAACTCAAATTTTCAAAATGGTAACTCATTTAGAGCATAACCGTAATATGTTTATAGAAAAAATATGCCAATAATATGTCATAAAAAGATATGTCCAAGCTTAAGACAAGTAAGCATCGTCTACGATTTGTACGGCCGATGCTATTCGCACCACCGGTTCGATTAGCCGCTTAAGCTATTCGCACCAACATTAATCACGCATGCGCATTGAGTTGTCAAAGGCGGGTTTCTACCTTGGCTTAGTTTATCATTTTTTAAGCGTTGGCGACTTTCAAAAGCTTAGAAAGGAAAATGGGTTCCTTTTCTTATAAAAAGAAGGAACACATTTCCTTTTATTAAAGTATATATAAAAAAGGGCAGATTTTTATGTTCGCAATGTTTATCTTTTTCCTAAACGGTTTGAATAGTTTAAATGACTGATTTGAAGGGGGGGGGGGGCAAAATCGTGTTGACATTTTTTTGTACTTCTTAGGATACATTTAGCTTTAAAGATGTGTTTTGCTCAATGAAGCTTTTAATTCATTCCTCTTTGAAAAATTTTGTCTGATAACAGATACTAAAAATTAGACAGCGGATTTCTGTGTAGAAAATTTTGACATGAAATAAATTAAAAGCGATTATGAACTATTAAATGAATTATTCTGTATGCCTGCATTTCTTTTATGGAAATACTTGGCATTTTCAAAACACAAAAAGTGTTTCAAAGAACTTTGAAATATTAGTACAAACACATTAATCAATTGAATTGAAATAAATAATGGGATGTAATTTAAAAGACAGAAATAATTTAATGTAAGAGATTTAGATTTAAAAATTTGCACACACAAATGATTTATCAGATTTTATAAGGTTTTTATTTCATAAATAACTTTGATATTGAATATGGCATTTTAACCTATAAACATGAGTGGATACTGAAATATGATGAATATATAAGAATATTATAATTTTCACTAAATTTTCTTATTGAATAATAAATTCTGACAGTCCAATGCTGTAAGACTAGGGTCTAAGTTTGCATAAAAATTCCTCTGTTAAATAGAAGAATTTAATTAATTTCTGTAGCCTTTTTGTCAATACACTAAAGTTTTTTTAAACTATTACTCGTCCTCGCTTGCAATTATAACCATCATTAAATCCCTATTTTATCTAATCATTTCCTGAACATTATCATGTATATAGATTGACTTCGTCTTTGTAACTGATAATTATTTCTTGCAAATTATTCTTTTGCTGGTGAACTATTAACAACCCTTTCTATTGCTGAGTTAGGGTTAACAACCTTCGCTCTCACTACCGCCTGCCTTGTACCTGGGCTCCTTGTGCGCATGCGCGAACGTAGGTGGTGTGAATAGCCTGTTAGCTATTCGCACCGTCGGTGCGATTATCCACTGCGGATTTGTACAGCGTCTTCTGTGCGTTAGTCTTTAATTACTGCTTTTTTGTTTTGCAGTGTTATTGCTTTTATTATTTGCATTTTTATGTATTTGTTCTCTATTGATCTCAATGCCGATTGATTCACTGTGTTTTTTGCCAACATAGACTATTTTTTTTTTGTAATAACTTGATTCAGATTGAATATGTAATGGATTTATATTTTTTATTTGTCAATAAATTGTATATGCATATATATATAGATAGATAGATATACACACACACCTGTTAAATAATTTAGAAGAAACGTATGTGCTAATTTTATAAAATATGCATGTGTGCTCGCATGGTCGGCTCCAGAGCCAGTGCAATCGGTGTGGTTGCACCAGGCGGCAGAATTTAGGGACGGCTAAATTTTTAAAATCTAGAGAAGTAACATAGAGTAAAATTTAGAGATGATAATATTTTTAGAATTTATTCGAAATGTTAAGCAATGGACAGCAAACTATTTTGAATTTAGAGAGGTGCAAGGCAGTAAAACATTCAGCTCTGTAGAAAAACAGTTAGCTCATTAGCTGCGACGCCACTGAAGTTCTCTTTCCTAAAACTAGCGCAGGCTTCTTCATTGATTTAAACTGAATGTAATTTTTAAATGTGTCTGAAAATTAATTTTTTTTATGTTACAAATAGTATTAAATTTGTCATAGCATAATGGTTGGTGTGCGGTAGAATTAAGTACCAATAATGTAGGCAAACTGAAACATAATCAGCAAAGTGTATCATTTCAAGTACAGTGTATTGTTTATATAGGTATAGTCTATAGCGTGTACTGTTTCATGATTAATGTTTAATGTGAATTAATGTTTTAATAGCAGTGGTGCAACTAATTTTGTATTTCAGGCTACATAAGTTAATTTCGTACAAGCTGAATTTGTTAATACATGTAGAAGCTTCTATGCATTCAGTTATGTGCTTTAAAATATGAACTGTGGGGAGACAGAAGTGAAAGTGAAAACCAAAGTTATGAAAAGTAATATGTTATAAAGTCAATACAATTCATATTTCCAGTGAATGGATTTATGTTTTTCCTCTGTAAGGATATTTGAAATATCATATGTCATATACACGATAATATTGATAAATTGATAAACTTATCTTTTATAGAACGGCTAAATTGAATGCTCTGAATGAAAGGTAATATTTGAGTTATTATATAGACAAATTGCTCTTTTAATATCAGAACTAACATACATTTTTTTTTGCTAATGGCGGTATTTACAGACAAACAAAAAACAATGAAGATTAATATACTTTTGATGCTTTTCTAGCGTGTAGGATGTATTATAAAATTTCATTAGAAACGTGGTACAATTACTTAAACGATCAGGGCAAAAATGACTTCAAGAAAGATTTTCATCATTTTCTATCATTTTTTCAGTCATTTTATTTTACTTATTAAATTTTACAGCTGTTTTAGTAGCACGTTGGATATAAATATCGAAGGTCTTCCAGTTAAATTGTTGACTTCTATAGGTGTCAGTTCATCTGCAAATCTAAAACAAAAATTCTAGTTGAAAAGAGTACTAGTTTTTTTTTTACCCAGATTGTTTGACTTCTTCTACATATGCTTGTAAATGTATAATAGCAATAAGAATGAATTAATGCCTTTCGAACTTCATTACAAATGCCATAGTCACATTATTAGCTAAATCTGTGGACATCATGTTAATTTACTGAAGAACAATCCGACAGGAATGAATAATTTTAAAATACAAATCGTCTATACTAAACACGGATGGATGGCAAGCAGAAAACCCTCCGATTTGTTTCTTCAAAACCGATACGAATCTGAGCAAAAGGAACTACAGGAGCAACCTTTGTCTTTTGACCACAACAAAATTCTTAGACATTCTCTGACAGTTGGTTCAGATTAGGAAAATTAGAATAATAAATACGAACGTATGGTAGTAATTTTAATACTAAGTAGTGTCGGAACTTAAATAATTTGGTTACCGGTTCATTCACAGGGAGTTTTTTTAAGGCAAAAAGGATAATATTCACTGATAAATAGTGGTCAAAAATCTTCAAAGGATTTTTCGCACGTAAGAATTTTACACATTGAAAAAATAAACATTACGATAAAATGATAATAATGAGTATAGCTAGCTAAACTCGGCGGTCTAAACTCGCACTAATGTTCTGCTGCACTATTTTTCTCTTTTCTTCAGTTTTAATCCACAGTGAGCTGAGAAAATGTAATATTTCTGTGCAAACGTGGAATTTTAGGACTAATAGTCTAATACTAAACTAGCGGTTTGCCAAGCTATAAACTATTTTAGAAAGAACTGTATCACACTTGCGTTAACTTTTCCCCCTCTTCTGAAAAGTCTTTCAAAAACTTCCAATAATTCGATTACGACGGCAGTATTCGCAGCTAATAATTAGAATGGCGTGTAGCCGAACCATCGAGCTTAAAATTTGAAAATAACGTAATTTTAATAGGTTCGTACAGGGGGCGTCGCTCATCACTCTTCGCTTGCGTTAATACTTCCAGTTCCATACTTTGAGTTCTGTAGTCGAAGTTTTGTTTACTTTTCGCTATGGCATCTCGTTGTTATTTTCCCCTTTTATCATCCAGACAGGTATTTAAATTTTTACGAAATCGGTCTAATGTTAATAATACCAGAAAATTCACTGAAAATCTCAGAGAACCAGCTCAACCTTTAGGAGATAAACAACCAAAATGGATGTCCGCCGAAGAAGCGGTGAAAGTTGTTAAAACCGGTAAATAAAATTTATTAAAATTTGATTTTTACATTTTTATAATAGTTTCCGTTTGTAAGAAAAACACAGGTGTAATAAAAATGAAGAATCATTGCTTAGAATAGCCAAACACCATATTGACGTATTTGAGAGTTAGCACTATTTTGAGTAACTTTTTCTCATGTTTATATTTGTATCAAATATACGTTTAAATGAACTTTTAAATAGACCGATGAGTGTTAAATTTAAAGTGTATTTAATCTTAAGTTTGAGTTAAGGAAAACACTTGACGCATTTAAAAGAAGTATGAATGTAATTTGTCTTTCTGAAATGAACCCGTATGTAATATTGCGCTGCAAGAGCTCACTTGGCTTGCTTTTATTTCATCTTGATTGTATTGATGTCTTTAATATGCGTTACATTTTATTTCTGCATTCTAAAATGTTTGTAACGAAATAAAATTTTATTTATTATAATTTTAGCTCGAATTTGTTATATATTATATTTTATCAGAATAGGAGCAATTAGATAGAAAAAAAAAATTAAAAAAAAAAAAGACTTTATCACAATTCTAACAAAATAAAAATTTAAAAAAATTGTGTTTTATCCGAACTCTTTAATTATTGTGTTATTTATAAATGTGTAACAAATGTAGTGCATACTATATTCGTAAAAATTTCATTGATAAAATGTATATGAAAATTGTGATATTTTCTGATACAAAAATATATCCAGTTAAAAAAATATTTCCTGGCTTCTGTTTTTTTCCCGTTTTTCTTCTTTCTTTTTTTTAAATCCGTGTATACCTAACAAATAATGGTGATAATTTAGTAATTACTAAATTGTTCTATTCATTATTAGCATTATAATTAGATGACATAATGTAAACTTTACCAAAATGGATTTACCAGCCATGTTTAGTGTGTCACAGCTTTTAAAACATAATAAGATAGCTAGTTTTGTTCAGATGTTAAAAATCTATGCTGTTAATGTAGCAGGTACAGTAAGTATTCTTCGAATATGAAGAATTTTTTTTTTTTTTTTTAAATAATATGAAGAATTTTTTTTTTAATCATAGCTATATTTTCCCATCTTTACTCTGTAGATGTTGCATATAGTATTTTTTCTAATCTGAAAGGTGAGTTATCACCATCCTCCTTCTTAATTAGCTCTTAGCTTCATTTGAATTCTAATAATTTTAAACCATATATTTATAGAAAGCTAGCTCAATACAATTAGAGAATTAAATCTTTAAAAAATTTATTTTATGTTATAGTATGGAAAGATGCTATTATTTTAATGTAAACTGAGTATAAAGAAAGTGATAAACATTTTAAATTCAGAATTAAGAACTTCTATAATTAAATCATCATTCAAATAAGATTTGGAGTATCAAATTTGAAACACAGTTATACTTAATTTATGTACATTTTTGATTAATAACTTCATCAAGTGGTTACTCTCTTACTACTACTTATTTATACTTTCAGTATACTCATATTCTATATAACAGTTAATTCTGAATAATTGATCTATAGATCATTAAGTTCTGAACAAAGAAATGATATGAGTTGAAAATTTTAAACTTTGCTTAGTTAGAAAAAAATCAAACACCATGTTTTAAGTACTCATAAATTTTAGTATTGAATCCAAAATTATCAATAATGTTTTAGTTTGAAATTAGACTGCACTGCACACTTTTTATGACTAGTAAGTGTATCTATCACCAGAGCTGTCATATTGGCATTTAAAAAAAAAAAAAAAAAAAAAAAAAAAACTTAAAAAATCTTTTTGTGATTAATATATCATTTAGATCGCTGCATTTTTAACTTTTCTGTGTTGGCATCAGAGAATCCATTTGTCTTTTGAATTCTGTGCCCAAGTAAAAGTATTTATATGCAATTATTTAATAACCTCCATATCCTCCCAAAAATATTTATGTGGAAATATTTTTATCTTTTAAAATAAAGCCTTTCGTATATAAATCTTTACACCATGAATCATAGTTTTAATATGCTATTAAGAGAGTATTTTTGACCTGTATTTTTAATCAAAAGAAAAATCAAGAAAAAATGTGCATCTACTGGAAATTTTGCAATGGTGTAGTCAGAGTCATGATGAATGCTTTAAAAACTCTAGTATGTTCAGAACAACAGAAAATTTTGGTACTTACCTATTATCATAACCATTTTTTTGCAGATTGGCAAATTTTACGGAATAAAAAGAACAGTTACTTTTATTGTAAAAAAAATTATATCACATACATATTCTATATTTCAACTATATATTTTTTTCCAAAAGACAATCAGTAAACCTAGTTATAAGTAGTTTTCTGTTTTTGTTGTGGCAGAAATTTCGCAGCAATCACTTTGAGAAAGAATTCAAAGCATTGTTTCTTTTATCGATTTTGCCACATTGTTTCACACACATGGTTACCCAAAGAAATGTTATATACGTGGTTGCCAGAGTTTGGGGTATTCTGAAGCTGCAGTGAGTGTTTGTAATAATACATAAGTATCAAAATTTTACATAATTACATCATTGTTGTAGATGCTTCTGTTTACTGGGGATGACACTGACTATTTAACCGAAGAGTTTGTAATTGATGAGTGCATTGAAAATATAGTGAAATCTCCGAAAGTTCATTATCCACAGTTCCTGGTAATTTTGGAATTTCATGGAGGAAAAATAATGATTTTTGGTGATGTTCAGTATCATTGTTTATCTATATTTCCAGAAAACTGTTTATTTTCAGATCTGATTAACTATGACAGGTTTCATTATATTTAAATTTGTTTAGGTTTCCCCTTTCCCCCTCAGGTTATCTGATTTTTAAATAAATATTTTAATTTGGCACATACTTCTTAAAAATTGTTTACTTTTCCTTTAATGCAGTGATTTTCAACCATTTTTGTCCCATGCACCCCTTTCACCATTGCATTCTCCTGCTTTCTAAAACTTGAAAAATACATATGCATTTATTTAAAATTAAATTATTTTTTAATGTGTTTTATAAATTAAGCAAAAAAAAGTATAGGAAATGTTGATAAACAACACTCCAAGGAGGAAGAGGCACCCAGACCTAGCTAGCTCAAGGCTGCCATACACAGTTAAGTGCCCTAACCCCTGGAGGCATACCTTCCCCTCGGTCAACCCGGTGTGGGGGGGGGTACAATTTCAGTTTCACTTGTTCTGTAAATTGAAGGCTTAGAACAGTGGTGGATGACTGGCATCTACCGAAAAGAATCACAGGAACGCATGTTAGACTTCCACCATCCCCCAGTGTTGATCAAGGGGAGTCAAACCCCCAAAGGACACCTTTCGAAATTCACCATGCAGCGCCCCCACCATCAAGGTGCAGAAAAGACAGTTACCAAATGTTCCTTGTCGAGCCAGAACCGATTCTAGTCATTGTGAAGACTGTTAATTTTACCCCAGAAATCAAGTCTATGTAGATATTGATGTAGCCAGAAAGCTGGGATTGCTGCGAGTTGACCCCGAGGGGTGGTCATCCAAACATAGTTTTATTTTAGAAATGCCAAACATTAGCACTTAAGCCATTATATCATGGGCTCTCCTGCACTTTTTAACAAAGTCATCATACCGATATCTATATGATTATCCTAACATAGTTAGCCCAGACAAACCTGGTTAGCAGCAAGGCCACGAGGAGGCCCAGGTCAGATTAGAACAGCGAAAGGCTATATATTGAACATCACTGTAACGTAACTAAGCCCACTCTCTGAAGAGCCAGACTAGACCCTGGTTCTCCTCCCATTAAATGGTTGAAAGGCCTGTGTCAGATTAGAACAGCAAGAATCTATATATTGCACATCGCTGTCCTGTAACAAAGCCCACTTTCAGAAGGGCCAGATTAGATCCTGGGTCTCCTCCCACTCAATCGTTGGTTCATAAAAATCTGATACAACCCCTCTTCAAGGGAGCTTAGCTACCCCTGCCAATATTGATAAACACAAAAACGTAAATAAGAGTAGCTTTTTATATTTGTTACCAGCAAAGTTTGAAATCCAGCATTTTATAGAATGCCTAGAATATTATATATGATGTCTAAAACTAGCCGGCAATGTATGAAACGATTCATATTTCAAACATTTCTTAGGCATTGTATAAAATGCTAAATGAGAAACCGGCAAAGTATGAAATACATCTCCAATTTAGTTTCGAATATCATGTGCATTTCAATTAATTCAGTATTCCACATATTCTGTTTCTAGTACCTTTTGTGTGTGTTTAAAGGAAACAAGTGATGCACTTGCATGCAAAAAATTCATACGTTCTGTAGCCATGCTAGTAAAGACGATGAAATGGATATTTTGTGCACCCTTTGTTTCAAAACTGACAATGCTATTGAAGGTAAAATAAATTCCGAAATCAATCTGGTTATAAACTATTTCCCACTTCTTCTTTGCGAATTAACGTGCGAGTTCCTATTCCTGACATTGACAAGGGGCCAGGTGATTTGTGCAATATATTGGCATATTTTATATTCTATATTCTATAGAATACCAGCATTTCATATTTTGCCAATAACATAGATAATAGCCTTAACAGGACCTTTTTTCATATTTTGCCGAAATAGCATTTGTCGCTGTATAGAATGCTTAGGTATTAAATACAATGCCTGGGGAAAGTATGTAATAATTCTTTTATTTCATACTTTGCCTAAAATTGTAGGCATTATATACAATGCCTAGGCATTCCATACTTTGCCAATACCATATTCATAAACTAAAACTAAATACTTAACTAGTAAATAAAAGGTGACCACATTCCCCCTCCTGAAATTAAGAAATTCTTCCCTGCTTGAGAATCTCTGGCTTAATGGATATTATAATTTTAAAATGTTTTATTAATCTGATGAAGAATAACATAATAAAATTAATAGAATCAATGGAAATAACAAAAGAGGTGTATGATTAAATTAAGATCGTAACCTGTTTTAATTATCTTATATGCCTGTTTCATTGTTTCCTTAAATTTAACTGTTTAATTAGTTATAG